TAAAAAAGGGGAGGGGAATAGTTAGCGTTTTCTCTGTCAGATCATCGCATTTCAGTTGAATTTCGAATCAGTAATCAAACTGAGAATTACTTTAGAGTAATTTACATAAATTGTATTTTTCAAAAAGCAAGCAGCTGTTGTTTGTGGGAGAATCCTTTTAAAACCTCCGTTTCTTTCATTATGAATTTATCAAGGGAAAAAATTCAGTTACATATTTCTTTATTAATTTATGTATCCAAATTTAAATTATTTTTCAGTTTGTCTTTAATTTTGTCTTGGGCATCTTTTTTGAGTAAATTTGGACTTCACAAATTTTTAAGCTTATCTGTCCCGATTTAAATTAATTACTTTTATTTTAGCTGCTAGTATTTGTGGATGTATGCAAAATATATTATTTTATTAAAATTATTATTTATTTTTAATCGAAATAATAATTGCAATGAAGGTTATCATTTGAAGTAACCGCGCACGTTTCAAACAGCAAGAGCCTTTGATTGCTTCACGCTTTTGATGCAAATTTATTAGGAATTGAAAGCTCAGGAATTAGTTATAAGCATTTGCTTCATCTAAACATGACTGTTGAAATGTTTTCAGGTATGAAAATTTAATTTTAATATTAAAATAAAGCCATATAATTTGCTAAGATCCTTAGCGACATGCTTTGTTTTCCTTAAACTTTATGTTTACATTTTTATAGGGGCTTTAATGTCAGTGTAAGAGAAGATAAACTTAATATATTCTTAAACCTTTCTTAAATCATATTCTGGCTGTTGGGGAAGACTAGATGATCGAAGAGAGATTTTTCAAGTGTCGACAGGGTTAAGCATATTTTTTACTATTCGATTTTGAAGAATTTGAGTATTATTAAATCTCATTTTATTATTTCTATATTATGTGTGTTCTTGCGTCTTTATAGGGGCGTTGGTTTGAATTAATCTTATGCAAAATTAATTCAAAATCTCGAATTTTATGTGTCTCCTTCATTATTTTGTATTGAAATTTTGGATAGTTAAACAAATTTGAATTTTATATACAAAAACCTAAAGTGTTTTATTGAAGCCATCTTCATTTACAAAAGTTGCTTGATTTTGAATATGCGACTGTATTTAATTATATAATTATGAGTAAGGGTAGACGCTTGATTTTACATTTTCATGGCTGAAGTCTCGTAAAAATATTGGAAATTATGATGAAAGCATGACTGAACATATATTTCTTAGTCTGGATTGCACTGTATGTAATTTGAGGTATTGTTTTAGATTTACAGTTATTATATATTGTACATTATTAATTGCTAGAAGTTGATCGATGGTGTAAAATTTTAGGGATTAATTCTGTCAATGATTGGAGACACTAGTTATTGCATTGTGTAGAACTTAGCAAGTTGTTTGACACATTTGAGCTGTTCCTGACCAAAGCGGCAAATATAAAAACAGCGTTTCTTATAAATTCAGGCAAACTCACATCTATCTTATTTGGCTGCGATATTTCTTAAATATCATAATTTCATGCTTCTAAAGCCTATTATTACCACAGATGCCTTCGCCTGCATCTTAATATGTACGCATGGTCACATTGTTGCAAAGTTTGTTATCTGTCTTTAGGAACAGAGCGCTGAATGTACGAATTAAAAGAACGGAAATAATTATTGTTTTAATGTTATATTCCTTATATGAACTGCTACCATTTTGAAATTTTCCGTGCCGTAGTGCTCTTAATAATATAGTATAATAATCTGGAGGCTTGCTTTTATGGTTATTTTGATTAACGTTTTGTGGTTATAATAGTATTTTCAACAAATTTTGATTGAAGAATATTTAGATGTTAAAGGACGTTCATCAAAAGATATGTTTATAGACTCATAGACGTATTGTAGTATGTTGTCATATGTAAATTAGTATATAAAAAATGGGTTATGATCACAAAAAAAAATCTTTTTCATGATTGCAGAAATAAATGGGAATGAAAAATCCTGTCCAGTTAGATAGAGATTAATAATTAAGTCTCTCTCTCTCTCTCTTTTTTTTTTTTTTTTTTGACAGAAGCCTAGATCTTCTACCCGAGCATTGTAAGTACATTTGTTTTTAACTTTATTCCATGTCGGAATCTGTGTTCACTTTCCAAATAACTGTTTTATTACTATTATTATTTCTTCTGTTTTAGTTGTCACTTTCATTATGAAAATTACATATTTAAAGTTTCTTAAAAAATAAATTCTGGAATATTCGAAATGAGTGGCTGTATCATATAATTAAGCTTACCAACTTACAAGGAAATTTAATTTATAACGTATAGCTTATGGAAGAAAATGTTTTATAGCTATGCAATATTTTAGGATGGCTCTGCAGGGAAGGCTTTTTTATTGCAACTAAATATGTAGGCCGCATAAATTCAGCGACTAGCTTTTTTAACTTGAATCCTTTTTTACTGCTTATAATCTCGTTGTCACGACTAATTTTTTATTAATATGTTTTCAGGTTAATGTATTCTAAGTTCCTGTATCACTTCTTCGTGATTTCTCGTCGGAAACGGCTGTGTATTAATGCTAATTGTGATAATTCGCGAGCAAATGGAAATGTGTGGATAAGATTTATTAGCGAAGTCCGCGTTATAGTTTCAGAAACTGACTCGTGCGTTGCCCATGGTCGTGACCAAGGATTTATTTCGAAGAATAATTTTGTTTTCTGAGTTATCCGAAATTTTGGAAAAGAATATTGAGGGTTTAGCTTTAATTGTTTCGTATTAGCTTTAAATTTTCGAACGACTCGTTTTTATTATTATTAAAGATAACGCTTTTAGAAATTTAATGTCCACCTGAAATGAATGCGATAATGCTTATTCATATTATTTGTAATCTGTAATTGGTCTGCACTGTTTCCTTGACATTTAGTTCGCAGTTAAGATTATTCTGATAGTCTGTGTGAAAAATGATAAATTTATCTTTTTATAAAAATTAAATAGTAGGTAGTTAAAATTAATCTTATCTGCTCCAGTGATTTTTGTTAGAAAAGTCGATCAGTTTTGATCAGATTTGGAAAGGGGAGGAGTTTTATTGATTTGTTTGAAATTGCTGATCTTCAAGTTCTGATATGTAATGCAGCTGTAGAAACTGCAGACTAGAGTAAGCTCTCATAAATTTTGAGATTTTCGATTAGAAAGAAAAAGTAAACTTTGAGTATCCTGGTCGTCCCCCCTTTTCTTTCAGCTCGTAATCTTACTTATACTTTTTACGAGTAGCATATAAATGCTTGCATTAAATTAGGTTTTAGGTTATAATAGGTTGAGGAGTTTTAATATTTTGTGATTAAGAAATAATTTCAATATACTGCTTGGTGTCCTGAATCATTTCTTATACTATTGTACATCAGTGTATTTAAATCTAGGATGTAAATATGAAACTCTTGCAATACTCAAATTTTTAGGCAGATAGCCCTCGTGTGCTTTGCCGTGATTAAATAAACCTAACTTGAACTGCTCGGAGAATGCGGCACTATCTCAATTCATAAGTCATTACGTTTCCTTTCAAGAATTTCGATGCCGTTTTGCTGCCCTGAAATCTACGTTTCCATAGCCTTTTAATAATTATTTTCTTGTAATCCAATTATCTAGATTTGAAATTGTAAATTTAGAGAATGCGATCTTTGTACTTAGCGTGGGAAAGCGATGAACATGATTTACAAATATTTATTATGTATAGCTACATTATATTAAGTAAAATATTTTATTAGCGCAGCCCTTTAAATTGGGTAAAACTTCTCAGCTGTGAGTGAAATTCCACGAAATAATCAAAATTCCTTTCTCTGGCTCTTCAGAAAAGAAACTGCAGAAAATGTATTTTACTCATTTTTTAAGTGCTTATTTAGTGTAGGGTTTTGATATAATATTTAATACATTTGCAAACTATTTAAAGCATTAAAAATGTAATGGTATTGAAAAATGACAAAATGCTTAGTTTGGTTTGGATTACTTGATTATAGCAAAGTACACTAAAGCTAGCTGCCTATGGGAATCTTTCATGGAGGGCTTATTACTAAGGGATCTTTTTACTAATGTATGAGGGAAAAACATAAAAACCTCATGTAGTGGGTAGGAATAGAGCTCAAGAACTACAGTATTTTATGGTATAAAGAATCTTAGAAATCATTGAAGACGAGATAAGAGTGAAGCTTTCTTTGAGCTGTATAACTAAAAAAAAGGACATTCATTCCAAATGTGTTGTTAGACGTAAACGATTATTCTACATCGAAGTATGTAATAATGGCATTAAAAACGTATTTTATTGATTAAAATATTGGTGCACATGTTTATAAAAATTATCAAGTTATGAATCACACGAATTAGATGGACCATAAATTACATCAATTAGAAATACTATTAAAAAGTAATTAATGTAAATTATTTAGAAGTATGGCCGTTGCTTTTAAATATTTCAGTTAGTGAAACAGCATAAAGATTTAATTTGAAAGGTTGACTTTTTGGCAACAGTTTTAACAAGTGGAAGTTTGCCTGGTTGCGTAATGTAACATAACAAGACCCGAAAAAAACTATAGACATTTTTAACGTCAGAATTTTTTTTAAATTATATTTTTAACTGATTGATACGTTTTATTCCCTTCTAATTTTTTTTTAATTCATTTATTTTTGAACATTTTAGTTTTTGGCTTTTAAATAGAGCTCGAGAGAACAATATCTTTCTCATAGTATTCGCGAAAAAAAAGTGGTGTGCAATATATATTTACGTTGTACACAAACATTGTCGCGCGGAAATCGGATGTCTCTCTAACCCGATAGCTTTAGGTTTTGCGGTATCCACGTTATAGCCTCATTATCAAGGAGAGAAAGATTAATTTACCTGATTGGCTTAGGCGGCGTAAATTTTAATTTTCATCCATTTGCAATGTTAAAAAGATGCAAATGAAAGCATCTCGTTAGCGAGAGTGCAGATGCAGCGCCACCTAGGATTCGGAGCGGTGTCGAGGATAAGGAGCAAAGCAGAGGAAGCAGCAGACGCACGAGGTTGGTGGACCGATCAACAACGTATGACGAGGCTGCTCTGCGAAGTCGACGTTTCTTCTTCGTCCGTTCCCATTAAATGAAACTCATTTATCACTTCACCATCTGTTAGTGATCAACTGCAATGCTTCTTCGCCACGAGACTGACCTACGGAAGAGTTATACAAATTTAAAAGGACAGTGTTGTGTTTATGTCCGAGCGGGGAATGAAATATTTCTGCTGATGGCTTGTACACTTATCAGCTGATTTCTTCTCTCTCGGTACCTCTCCTTGTGTCCAATCCCCATTTAAGAGTTGTCCAGATGTCAGCCGGACGATGTGCTTGGCTAAAATCTGTTGTGATCCGAGGACATTTCTCGCAGCGCCAACAAACGCGCAGGTTAGCAGACGAAAAAGTGATCTTCACAACTGTATCGCTGGCGAAGTAGGGTTAGTGGAGAAACTCTTACCCGACGGTTAGCCAACCGATCGCCGGGTCTTGTCGTTCATGTATCGTGAGTCCATTGAACAAATTTCAGTGCTTTTATCCGCCGCGAGAGTTCACTCTGACTTTTCTCGATGGTACTTTGATGGATCGGTCAGTTCGGGAGCCCGTAGATTTTTGCACCGCATCCAATTCGTCGGACATTCAGCTTCCAGGACCTAGCGGTGGACATTCGGGACCTAGCACGCCCCTCTCTGCGGGACGGCTACTCTCGAGAAATGCGAACGGGACAAGTAAGTACAGAGCAATTTCACAAGCATCTTCGGGCTTATCTCGCTAATATTCCACCCATAACTAAAATATTTTGTGCTTTGTTTCTGCTGCCAGTCACATTACAATGATAACTAGTGAAATTTACACTTTTATTGCCATAATTAACGTTTTCTAACGAATGACAGTTCTTCAAAGCGGTAAGTGAAATAAGCTATATTTAGTTTTTGAAACTTTTGTGCATGCTGCGATTGTGGGAATGTTAGTAATTATTTTGTGTGTTGTGTATCAGTGATAAGTGTCTTTTTAAAAAAAACAAGAGGCTCCATTGTAATTATCCTTTCCTCATAACATTAACTTTCTTGTATATTAAAACCAGAATGTCATTTAAAAATAAATATGCATCAAATGTTATAAAATTTTAAATAGTGTGTAGATGTGTGTCATTAAAAATGCAAGTAAAGCTCTAAAATAAGATCTCCTTATTACTGTTAGATAAGATCTTGTATTAATTTTGAAAGGGAAAAAATCTTTTGTTTCAAAACACATGCATTTCTTTTATGCATTTATTTTAAACCTAAATATCTTGAGCTTTTATGGAGCTTTGCATTCTGATCTGCCGATTATTTCAACATTTTGCCTAAGATAAATGCTTTGGTGTTTAATGCTTATTGTAGAAGTGTTATGCTAAGCCAGAGTTTGTTTTAGAGCTTATAATATGTTCGTTAATACTGTAAACTAGTCATTCATATAATCTTGTTATGTTGCTTCCTTAATGTCAATATATGCTGGGCAAGAAACATTTATTGCAGTTGCTGTGTGCTGTCCAGTGAGCACTGCTGAAAATTTTAGGAGGGGGAAAAATCTTTTTATATATATAGCACATATAATTCTAATGTATATTCAATGAATTTTAGATCATTCAATATATATATATATATATACACACACACACAAACACTTGGACAATCTTTTAATTTTTAAGAAAATCCTGTATCATTGACTACCCTCAAAGTCGACAGTTTCATATTAAAATCTATATTAATGTAAGTTTTCTTTTGGAGTAATATAAAATTTTTATTGTTGTATGCATTTTCTATTGATCTGAAAATATCTGAATGAAAATGCGAAAAAAAATTAAACTGTTTAAAATTATAACTTGCTGCATAGTTATAATAGTTTTTAAAATAGTGGCCAAAGTAGTATTTTACTAAATAACCAAGAATTAGCCTATAAAAACAGTTTGATTATGTTGTGTGTATATTCGTTTTTCCACATAATTTTTTTTTATTTATTTATATTTGTGAGAGTCAGAATTCAGTGCATGTAGAATTATTAATTATTACAAAATAGAATTTTATATTATCATAAAGGAGAGAAATAGACATTTTACTCATAATGTATATGCAGTTTGATAGCCCGAAGCTGAGTTTTCCATTAGGTGAAAGAGTTTTTAAAGAAAGAAAAAATTTTTAAACTCGTAAAATTAATTTAGGCTTAAAACCATTGAGGTTTCCAAAAAATGTAATATTAAAAGGTTTGAGTTTGTGGAACTAATCTTGCATTGCATAAGCATTATAATGTAATTAATAGATATCCAATTCCTGTGGTCATGAATTTCTGTAGTAAGCTGTGAAGTCTGTATGTGTAATTTTCTGTTACCAGTCGTATGACTTTTTATTTGAAAACTTACGATTCTTTGGTGTCGTAACTATGGATTGATATTCCATATGAGATTTCGGTGATGGAATTTATTTTTAGAATTTGTTTTAGTAGATATGCAACTATGTATTTTTTCTTAAATAATTTTGCACTTGTGTACTATTTCTTATTTGTGCGTTTTTGTGTGTGATGCAAAGCTTCCGCAAGATTTGCCATTCTTGACAGGGTGCTTATAACTTTTTTATTTAAAGTATATAAAGCTGTCATTGATAAGGTAAATTATGAAACTTGAGCTGTGTTATGTGACATGAATTATTTGAACTGGATCATTTTTTCATGGCAAAGGTTATTAACACTACCAGACAGCCCATGCAGCTCATTTGACTTGCCTGTTAATATATATTTTTTTAATAATACAAATGCATGTTTGGTAAAAAATATGTTTAGTTTGTGAAAATGTGTATGATTTAGAGCTAAGTTCCCCTCTCTCCCTAAATTATATTTAGTATAAACACTGTTTTTACACAATTGAAATTTCTGTTTGTTTTGGAAATAATAGGCTTATATTGATAGTTAATTGGTGTGGGAAATAATAGGTGTACATTGACAGTTAATTGATGCAATGTTTTTTGAAGCTTTAAATGTGCATTTTGGCTCGGCTTAGATGAGTAAAAGCGAGTTGCTAAATACTTAAAAGTTTACATCGTGGTTACAGTTTAATTGCTGATGAAAATGTAACTTGATTTGCTTGCTTTTGCATGCATCCTTATTTAAAACAATTAAAATGATACTATGCAGCTACAAATTTAAGGCAATCTCACAAAATACTTAAGTTGTAGGATCTTTTTTCCCCTACACTTAATGTATTTTTTAATTTATTACTCTTTTAATCTTTTCATTAGCTTGTCTGATTTAAATAATTTTGAATTCTACTTTTGTAGTAATGTTTTAATTAACTATAAAATAATATATTTTGACTGTTTGTCATTAAATATTTTTCGAATCGCATTTTATTTTGATATTTTAAAAAATGGTGTATGGTAATTGGGCTGTGACTAGTAAATGTAAAAACATATTATAAAAGTTATTTCTTTTTGAAAATATTGTTTCTTTTATTAATGGAATAACTGCAGCTGCATTTGCACTGTTTCTCGCCAAAGAATAAAAATACTCCTGGGATTTTCAAGGCATGTAAATTAAATCTCTTGGTATTCTTCTAAAGATTTCCTTAATATTTTGAATAAAATGCTTACTCAAAATAATTCATATGTTACATGTGTGATGAGTTTATTGGAATTGCTCTAAAATAATATAAATAATAAATGTACAGGAAAACTATTGCTAGACTAATGTAATAACTAAAGAATTGCATTTTGCAGCTTATATTGTGAACTAATAATTTAATTAATATCATTTCATATGTAATTTACATTTGCTGAATATTTTTATATTTTAGTATGTAGGTATTTTTGAAATGCTTTGAGCAAAGGTTTAAGGTCTATGTGTTTTCACCCTTATATAAAACATCGGTTTCAATCTGTATCAATCTTTTCCTGTGTATAGTCCTCAGTGGTCGTTTAATACAGTTGATCAGTTTAAATTGTCATTTATATAACAAATCTATCATTTAGTTGTTATGTGCGAGCCTACTGGTAATCGAGCAATAAAGTCACTGAACATTCATAGTTTGACTCTTTGGTGTCCTTTGCGGTCAGATTGAATGGCTGCATGGGAGTTTTCCCGATTTCACCATGTGTAATGCAGATATCAGCCACTTTCCCTTTAAAAATCCTCTACGAAGGTATCCCTTTCAACAGGCAGATAGTATTTGAGTTGCTTTGGTGGGGGGGGGGGGGGGTGGGGGGGGGGGGGGGGGGGGGGGGGGGGGGGGGGGGGGGGGGGGGGGGGGGTCGGGGGGGGGGGGGGGGGGGGGGGGGGGGGGGGGGGGGGGGGGGGGGGGGGGGGGGGGGGGGGGCGGGGTGGGGGGGGGGGGGGGGGGTGTGGGGGGGGGGGGGGGGGTGGGGGGGGGGGGGGGGGGTGGGGGGGGGGGGGGGTGGGGGGGGGGGGGGGGGGGGGGGGGGGGTGGGGGGGGGGGGGGGGGGGGGGCTAATCAATTAACTTAACCTTTACTCTATGCATTATTAAATTCATTATATATTCCTCCCATCAAATTAATAAACAGAATTCATTAATGTTTAAATGATTGTTTTATATATAAAGTAAATTCAGCCTTTAAATACAAATACGAATTTTTCATTTAGCTAGTTTATTTAAAAATTATAATGGGAATTGAGAATAGATTTAATCATTTGTGCATTATGTAAGCACTACAAAAAGAACAAAAGTAAAGATGAAGTTAATTTTTCTTAATTTATCTTATTATTAAAAATTAGTATTGAATTAATATTTCTGTGAGCATAATATGAATAAAGATATTAAATAATATTTATTTAATATTTTTATTTTATAATATTTAATACATGAAACATATTAAATAATTGTGAAACTAGTTCATTATTGAAGTTTCTAATTTTTGAGATTTTAGAATTTTTTATCTTGGGAAGGTAATTACTTACAAAAATAGTGACAATAAAAGGGTTTTCATACCACAATATCTACATTTTGTGTTGGTAGTAACTGTGTTGTGGTTTAGCTCTTTATTTTAAAATTTTAAGTTTTTTCCCCAAAATAAATGTATTTTTGGCATCATGCTAAATTATAAGAAAAAAAAAAAAAATGTGCTTTTCTCCAGTTATGGGATTTTTTTTTAACTGATCTGTGTGAAAAGTGTTCTGTGCAGAGTTGAAGAAAATTGTTATTATTAAAAGTTAAACTGCAAATATGTATGCTTAAAGATCATTTAAAGCCTATCTAGGAAAGAGAGGTGTTTCAGTCAGGAAGAACAGTGCATGGCTTTGTGAAGTGATGAAATAATTGTCTCACCATTTATGTTTTGAAATGAATTAAATATTACACATTAATCCTTTGACTACTTAATGAGACATATACGTCCCACTAAAAGTTTAAAAAATACTGCCGAGTTAAAAAGTACTTAGAATCTCCTAAATTGTGGGGATTAGCTTCCAATAGTTGGAAAATCAAGATGCTGCTCTGCTCGTTGTAACCTGTGGCTGTGTCCCAGCCATAGTTAATGGTTATATTCAACTATGGCTGGGACCTTGTGTCCCAGCCTTTAGCTTGAAAACTGTTTGTTGAAAAAATCCCAAATGCTAAATTTACCTTATTTATTACATATTTTGTTCACTTGGATAAAAAAAGGGGTATTTTTTTTAATTTGCAGTCAAAAGGTTAAGATAATAACTTCTAGAATGATCAAAACATGTTTTTACAAAAATTTTTA